GACACCGGGCAGGCTTACATCCATATGGAACCAAGCGCATGCTGAGGCACAGCTGTGAATGCTGACATCTCATTTCTGTTTTAAAAGATCTTAAAAGATCCCTCAAGTCACTGGATTGAGAGAGGACCACGGAGGGGCCAGAGTGGAAGCAGGGAGACCTGCCGAAGGCTCCTGTGCTGCAGGTCCATGGTTCCTCCCTCATAATGCTGAAACCCAAAAGCTCGTTCTGTAACTCAACCAAATGGTTTTTGGTAGCCAGATGAGCGTAAACAGTCCTATGTTTCACTGTAGAAACATGAATCTGTTTCAGTATACGTATGTACCTTACTACTTTTCTAAACTCTGAAAAATTCCATATCCCACAACTCATGTGGATAAAGGAATTTGGACCTGTCCTCCCCCGGAAGAACAGCTTGGGTCAGGGAGGCAGCACAGGAGATGGTGAGAGGTGCTCCCACTCGAGACAGAACTTGAAGGTAAGGCTAACACCATTTCCATACAGATTACACTAAGAGTAGTTAGAGAGGACTCCAAGTTCTTTGGCCTTAGCAACTGGTAGAACAGAGGTGACATCTCCCGGGATGGGAAAAGCTGCAGGTAGAATGTGTTTGGGCTGACAATCAGAGTCTATCAGAAATGCAGAGTCTGATACATATATTTGCATCTCACTGGAAAGGTTAGACAGGCAGGGGGATACCTAAGTCTAGAGTTTGGGGAGAAGTCTGGGGTAGAAATGTATTTGTGTTATAATTTTTTTTTCTTGATTTCCCTTTCCTTGATTTTCCTGATTTCCTAAAATACCTTTAGTCCTTCCTCAGGGAGACAATACATAATTACACACATAACACACACATTATAAAGAAAAGCTCTATTTCACAACCTCTTCCATTAAACAAATATATATCTTTCAATGTAAAGAAAAATACAACTGAAGTATGGGGCTGTTTGGAGACTGCCCAACAGTGGCTGTCATTAACGTCACCTGAACATTTAAATGAAATGAGGAGAGCCAAATTCTATTCTCAGACCCATGGAGAGATAAGGATGGCTTAAAAAATTATTTTGCCAGAAGCGAGGAAAATATCAATGAAGAGATGGTGTTGAATGAAAATAGTTCTAAGGTTCCTTTCTGCTCTCACAGTTTGTCCTGAATTTGCTCAGCAGTTTGGTCTGAATTCAAAACTTAGAGCCCTCCTTATTCATAAAATATGCTATAATCACAAGACAGTAAATTAAGAAGTGTCCCAAATACCCTCATCCATGCAAACACTAAGCAGGGCTCCAGCCGAAGATGAACACGAACGGAATCGATCTGGGGCAGTAGTGTCTGGAGGCAGCAAAGCTATCTGCGACATGTGGCCACCTTGGCATCTGATCAAGAGAATTCTTTCCCAGGGCATGTCTTTAAGATCACACTCTCTTAGAATGAGACCTCTCAAACATCGTGGGAATTCCATGTTTCCCCAGACTTATCTTGCTCAATTCTATTGTTAAACTTTAATGTGACTTTTAATTCACATGTGTTGATATGAAGAGGAATGATGGAAAGAAAGACATACTTTTTTTTTTTTAAAGAGAGATAATGAATGCCAGCCAAGTGAGGAGGGGCAGAGGGAGAGGGAGAGAGAATCCCAAGCAAACTCCATGCCCAACACAGAGTCTGACCCGGAGCTCCATCTCACAACCCTGAGATCATGACCTGAGCCAAAATCAGAAGTGGGATGCTTAACCTACTGAGCCACCCACGTGCCCCAAGAAGGACATACTTTTTACAAAAAGAGAAAATATTAAAAGACTCAGAAACATGTTATCTCTGTCAGAGTGTGTTTTTATAGTAAGTGGCCAAGTTTTTATGACCCTACCTTAAAGCAACATAATAATATAATTATTTGCCATACTTAAGCACCCAGGAACAGACATGATAAAGAGATTAAAACAAAACAAAGCAGAGGAGTAAGAAAGAAAGAGGCACTGCAGAGACAGAGAGCAAAGGAAAAGAAGGGAGGGTGGGGGAAAGGCAAAGAGGAGAAAGATTTAAAAATATCATTTTCAGGGCGCCTGGGTGGCTCAATTGGTTAAGTGTCTGCTTTCGGCTCAGGTCATGATCCCAGGGTCCTTGGGTTGAGCCCTGCTTCAGTCTCCCTGCTCAGTGGGGAGCCTGCTTCTCTCTATCCCTTTGCCTGCCACTCCCCCTGCTTGTGCTCACTCGCTTGCTCTCAGTCATTCAAATAAATAAATAAAATCTTGAAAAAATAAATTTTCAAATAAAACATATGTGTATGTGGGGCGCCCAGGTGGCTCAGCGGGTTAAAGCCTCTGCCTTTAGCTCAGGTCATGATCCCAGGGTCCTGGGATCCAGCCCCGCCTCGGGCTCTCGGCTCAGTAGGGAGCCTGCTTCCTCCTCTCTCTCTGCCTGCCTCTCTGCCTACTTGTGATCTCTGTCTGTCAAATAAATAAATAAAATCTTAAAAAAAAAAAAAGAATATGTGCATGTGAAACATACTACTGGATCTACCATTGGAATCCTCTAAAAATTATATTTATTGCCTAAAACATAAACAATTACAACTACATCAGAATTACAGAATTTCACTCTCTCTTTAAATGGACAAGGACCTAGAAGAGAAATTTGAGAGTCACATACAAGCAAAGAGAAGCTTCTTGTCTTTTAAAAATTCACAATGTCAGTGTTCTTTTCACCTGTTAAAAAAAAATTTGCACAAGAATTCAATATAAAGGAGCGAAGTTTGTTTCCATCAGGGAGCCATGGGCAAAGAAGAAGAGGAGACAGGAGGAGTGAACGCAAAGGTGGCTAACAGCAAGCATGGTGACATGTGACAGGTAAATACAGGGAGAGTTTGCAAATTGTAAAATTACACATTTTGGTCTGCTAATAAAGGAACGACCTCTTCCTCCTTCAAAACTTGCTGCTTTACCTCTAGCCTCTATTTCTATGGGTGATACCATCCTTTACCCACTCACCCACTGAAAATCTGGGGGTCTCTGATGTGATCTAGCTCTAGTCCTCTAGATCCAACCACTGGACACAGCAAACACAAGGGACAGGTTTACCAGCAGGTTACTGCCTATGTGAGCCTGCTTCCTCCATCTGTGCCTTTGGTGTCCCTATGAACTCTAGTACCTAGTTATCCTCAAGCTCTTTGCCCCCACCCACCCCAAAACTTCCTTCCCCAAGCCTGACTGGGTGCTCTAATCTCTCTCATTAACACAGTATCCCAGTTATCTTCTGGGTAACTCTCTTTCCCACCAGATTATACTTTACCTGTTTTATCTTTGTAAATCCAATGCCTAATACAAGGCCTGGAATTCTAAAACACATTCAAAAGTATTTAGTGATTAAATTTAGTTAAATTAAAAGTTAAAGGGGATGCGATATAGTTAGGTTTCCCATCTCTGAGAGTTTCTGAATAAATCTAAATATGTTAGGAGAAGTCTCACACTGGATAGGAAATGAGATCTATTATATGACTTCGTGATATTCCTTCCATTTCTACACACACTGTGATCTGCCCAGTTGACTTCCTTTTATACAGTTCTTTATAATATTTAACAATAAAGACATAGGACTTACACTTTGTACAGCTAATTCTTTTTGTGTTTCATTCTTATTCCAGGCATGGCCCATGATGGAAATGCCATTGTAAAGAGCTTATTAAAAACATGACAACACATAAGACCTTCAGTAGCCAAAGCAATCCTGAGAAAAAGAACAAAGTAAGAAGCACCATGCTTCCTGATTTCAAGCTATACTATAAAGCTATAGTCATCAAAACAGTATGATATTCGCATAAAAACAGTTGTGCAAACCAGGGGAACAAAATCAACAGTACAGAAGTAAACCCAAGCATATAAGGTCAACTAATATTTGACATGGGAGCCAAGAATACTCAATGGAGAAAAGACATTTAAATGGTTCTGGGACAATTGGATATTCGCATGCTAAAGAATGAAAATAGACCCTTATTTTATATAACATAAATATATTAACTCAAAATTGATTAAAGACTTGACCATAAGACCTCAAACCATGAAACTCCTAGAAGAAAATATAGGAAAGAACTCCTTGCTGTGGGACTTGCAATGAATTTTTGGATATGATACCTAAAGCACATGCAATAAAATAAAAAACAAACAAACAAGTGGGACTGCAACAAACAGAAAAGCTTCTGCATGGCAAAAGAAACCATCAACAAAATGAGAGGACAACCTATGGAATGGAAAAAAATATTTAAAGACAATATATCTGATATGCGGCTAATATCTAAAATACACAGGGAATTCATACAACTCAATAGCAAAAAAACCCAACTAATTTGATTATAAATGGGCAGAGGACCATTTTCCAAAGAGGACACAGATGGGCAACAGACGCATGAAAGAGGCTCAACATCACAAATAAGGAAATAAGGCCACAATGAGATACCACTTTGTGCCTGTTAGAATGGCCATGATCAAAAAGACAAGAGATAACAAATGCCGTCAAGGAGGTGGAGAAAAGAGAAACTTCGTGCCCTGTCCATAGGAATGTAAATTAGTGCAGCCACCATGGAAAATTGGAGGTTCCTCAAAAAATTAAAACTGCAACTACCACATGATCCAGCAATTCCACTTCTAGGTATTTATCCAAAGGAAATGAAAATATGTCAAAGAGATAGTCCCATGGTCACTGCAGTATTATTTACAAAAGCCGTAACATGGAAACAACCTAAGTGTCCACCAATGGATGAGTGGATAAAGAAGGTCTGGTATAAATACACAAAGGGATATATACGCAATTCAGCCTTAAAAAAGAAAATCCTGCTATCTGAGACAATGTGGATACATACACCTGAGGCATGATGCTAAGTGGAGTAAGTCAGAGAAAGACAAATACTGTATGATCTCACATATTATATGTAAAATTAAAAAAAAAAAAAAACTTAGAGAAAACGGTCAGAATTGTGATTACCAAGGGTGGTGCTAACTTTTCTAGGACTTACTGAACACATCTCCTCTGGGTTTCTGAGGATCTGTCTGTATCCTGTTGTCAACTGTGATCCATCGCGGAGAGGTGGTGACAACGGGCACTACGGGTGTCAGCTGGGTGCCTGTGCTTTCCGGGCTTGTGGCAGGTGGTAAAGTTCCGAGTTCTGTGAATGGGGGTGGGGTCGGCTCTGGCGTTGGCCTGGGTGCAGGTCTTGTTGTTGGCTTTGAAGTGGGCCTGTTGGTAATAACAGGAGGAACATATGGTGTCTTCAGAGGCCACCTAGTACCTCCAACATCAGGAATCCAGTTACTATGTCCTCCATCACCCTTTGAAATGGTACCGTTTCCCTTTGGTACATGAATTGGACCTGAAGGTTCAATCATGACTTTTGGAATATCTGAAAGAGTCAAAAGATTTAAATTAGTGTATAACCATCTCTCTCTAAAAGTCTGTGGCATCAAATTGTGAAAAACACATTAGAATATCTCATGCCAACTAGGCTTACTTTTCACATTTAGAATATTCCACTACCGTAAGTCATGCTCTTTTCCAAATAACAACTATGTGTGTGTATGTATGGTATACTCATATACACACATATCCATCCTGCGGATATATGCAAAAATTATGTTGGTATTTCTGTAGTGGATATGTATTACTTACAACACAAAGAATTTCAAGTGTAATATGAAAAAAGACAACAATCCTTGAGATTTTTAAAATGTAGAAACATTCTACGGTTTTTAAAATATGAGAAATGTTTGTTCAGAATCTTTGTTAAGTGTCCCTAGGGCACACATATATTATAAAATCATGTTTTGAATAATCTAAAGACTAATACTTTTGTCTTCCATACTCTATATAAATTCAACTCATGCAAAATATGTTCATTAAGTGTTCCATATATATTTTTTAAGATTTTTTTAAAAGATTTTATTTATTTATTTCACAGAGAAAGCAAGTAGGCAGAGAGGGAGACGGGTATAGGGGGGAAGCAGGGTCCCCACTGAGCAGAGAGCCTGATGTGGGCCTCGATCCCAGGACCCCGAGATCATAACCTGAGCCAAAGGCAGAGGCTTAATCCACTGAGCGACCCAGGCACCCAAAATGTTTTAGTTTTTTTTTTTTTTTTAGATTTTGTTTATCTGAGATAGAGAGAGAGAGGGTGAGCAAGAAAAAGAGAGCATGCATTGGGGGCGGGGTGGTAGAGGGAGGAACAGGCTCCCCGCAGGGAGTCCAATGAGGGACTCAATCCCAGGACCCTGGGATCATGACCTGAAATGAAGGCAGACCATTAACTGACTGGGCCACCCAGGAGCCCCTGTATTTTTTAAGATTTTATTTACTTATTTGAGAGAGAGAGTAAGAGAGCACGAGCAGGAGGGGCAAAGGGAGAGGGAGAAAGAATCCCAAGCAAACTCAATGCTGACCATGGAGCCAGACAAAGGGCTTGATCTCATGACCCCAGGATCATGACATGAGCAGAAACCAAGAGCCAGACACTTAACCGACTGTGCCATCCAGGTACCCTAACTGCTCTGTATATTTTTTAAGTTTGTTTGCTTTCCCCCTTATTAATTTATACAACTGCTTAAAAAAACCTTCAGAGGTCATCATGATTTTCTGTGGAGCCTTTTTCTGTGGTTATCTTCACCAAAAGGAATTAACATTTAATTTCCTGGAATGATATACTCCAGGCCTGGAATATGACTACATGACCCTTCAAAAATCCTTTAAATCCTATGATTCTAAGGTTCATGATTTTCAGTAAATATTTTACTCCAAAACTTTAAAAATTATCTATTGTCATATGAAATGCATGCTAAATTATGGCCTTTAATCTGTACAACTTTCATCTTGGAGGTTATTTTTTTCATGTTTATCTACTAATATAGTCATATTCCAAACAAGGCTGGTAAGGATTTAAAAAGCAAAACTGTCCTAAATTTAGAGAAAATAAATATCAGAATGATTTTTTAATAAAACTAGGACACACAAAACAGGAACAAAAAACTGGTATATATCCAAATTTTCCCCTCTGTCTTAATGTAATGCTAATGACAAACATTTACTTCTGATTATAACAAAATCAAATTCTCAGGAAGAGCTCCATCATTTCTTGCCAGCCATATTGAGAGGTTTCAGCAAAGGAACTGAACGCTTTTAAGATTCAATGTATTACTGAGTCTTTAACTTTTTTAAAATACCTGAGCAAGTGATTTGCCTGTTTGCAGAAAATAAAGACTAACATTATTAGCTATAAAAAGTATTTTTTGGATAATTAATCTCGTTCTTCATCTTTCCCTGTAATGGCCTTCCTGTAATCCTGTATTTCCTGCTAGAAATCAAAGCCAGGAGAAAACCATTACTCACACACACAATTCAGTCCATCACCCTCGTATCCATCTTTACATTTACACTTGTAGGACCCGTGTACGTTGTAACATCGAGCAAAGCGGCTGCACTGATACTGACCAAGGGAGCATTCATCTATATCTGCATCAGGAAACGGGAAAAGAAGTTTATGTGTGAGAGCAGTATGATGACATCAAAGATATATAGAATTTAAAAAAAAATTTTTTTGGAAGGTCCACGTAAAACCAGCAGATGAACAGAAGAAACAAAGTACACATGCATCCAGAACTACCAAAAACGGCTGCATGGGTTTCTGTTCAGTGCACGGCCAGCAGCCTCCCCTCCACCTACGTCCCAGTCACCACCCCAGTAACAGAGCTTCCCGCACCCCAGGAAGAAACAAAGTGATGCCTAAGGTTCGTTACCGTGACATTGGTATTTGCCTCCAATGTACATGAGGTCAAAGCCTTTATGACACTTGCAGACGTAGCTCCCAAAAGTGTTGACACACTGCCTAAAACGAGGGCAGGAGGCTCTTCCGGTAACACATTCATCAACATCTAGAAGCAGAAGTCAGTTGCGTCTTAGAAAGAACAGCAGCATGTTCAGGTGGAAAGGATTTTAAAACAAACATCGAGAAACAGCTGCCTGGCACAGAGTGGCTCATCCTAAATGTTATCCGGCTGGTAGCCCCGACGGGCTACGTAAATTCCCCATCTCCAAATTCCAACGCATCCTCCTAACCAGAGCTATCGTGTTCCCGCACCACCTCTCTGCCCAGACCACACCTGTATGCCTTGGTTGCTCTGACTGGAAACATGAGACATCCTTAACAATAGCCTGAACATCCTTAACAATTCCCATAACCCCAAATCATCAGGCCCAGTTAATCAAGTCTCATCTTCTCTTCACCCACTGCCACTACCCTACCTGCCATCTTCCACGTTAGACTGTGACAAGGGCCTCTGAACTGGTCTCTTCCCCACCAATCTCACCACCTCCAGAGGATTTCCAATCAACTGTCAAAATGATTTATTGCAACCTAAGATTGGAATATTAAAACTCCTCAACGGTTCTACTTGCTTTTTAAATTAAATCCCCATTCCTCAGGATGTCCATGAACACCCTGCATTATGTCATCCTTACTTAACCTACCAGTTATATGTCAAGGCTCCGCCCCTCCTACTCAGTGTGCACGAAGCCACATGGGCCTGCTTTTCTACCTACCCCCAGCCCCTGGTCTCTCTTACTGAGGTTCCCACACTGTTTCCACCTGCTTGGTGGTTCTTCACACGGCCAGTGGTCCAGGTTTACTGCAGGACTTTCCCTGACCATTACTTTCTAAAAAACACCCTTTGTGTTTCCCTCTTAGTACCTCATATTAACATTGAGTATTGTTTATAATTTTATTGGATATTTCTTTTCCCTCTTTCCTATTAGAGCAACAGCTTTGTGAGAATCAAAATCCTGTCTGCCTCGTCCACTACTATATATCCTAGCAGTTGTCACAGTGCCTGAAATATAGAAAGTACTAAATAAGTCTCTCTTGAATCACTGACTGCCTCTATTCATTGAGTACGTACTACATGCTAGGTACTCTGCTCAGCTCTTTGCAGACATAATGCATACAATGGTTGTATGTGGCATTACTCCCATTTTTTAAAAGATTTTATTTATTTATTTGCCAGGGAGAGAGACAGAGCACAAGCAGGGGGAGCAGCAGAGGGAGAGGGAGAAGCAGGCTCTCCGCTGAGCAGGGAATCTGGTGCGGGGCTCCATCCCAGGATCCTAGGATCATGACCCGAGCTGAAGGCAGACATTTAACTGACTAAGCCACCGAGGCGCCCCGCATTACTTCCACTAAAGATGAAGAGACTCAAGCTCAAAGAAAGGAAGTCTCTTGCTTAAGGTTACCTATCAAGGACTTGGCCCACTAGGTTTGAAATCAAAGCCCGGATTTAATCACAATCCTATACCGTCTCCCTAAACTAGAGGAAAACAAACCTAACTCTTTCGCGCAGTACGTACCATCTAGCCCAACCTATTCAGCTTCATCACTCACTGCTTCCTAACATTCTAGAACTACAGAGCTCTTCCGCTTTCCCTGAATACTGTGCTCTTTTAAACTTCAGAGCCTTTGCACACGAGGTTTCCTCTGACTGAAGCTTCTTCCTGTCCCTCATTTTTAGGGAAACAAGGTTCTCATTATCCATTCAGAGAGAGGTCCTCTCCTGAGACATGTGCTGTCTCCTAAGGACAGCCAACTGCCTGAGGTAGGTAACTGCATGTCTTCCTTACTCCCATCACCTTTCACTTTCTCTTCTTATCCTGCAGGGGCTGCTGACAGAGATGCTTGAGTTTACAACTCACCCACACAGGTCCTCCCATCAGGAGCCAGCTGTAGGCCGGGAGAGGGGCACTGGCACCTTATCTGTCCTTTGACAACATCACAGCCATATTGACAGTTTGCCATGGAGCACGTCAGGGCACCTAGAAAGAGCGTAACTGGCTGACACAGAGAGGCAGTGGACAAATTCTATAACCGAAATAACGGGTCTCTTTTTTTTTTTTTTTCAAACAATGAAGACAAAAAGGCCTCAATTATCCAACAGTCGCTATTCTTCATCTGGGGAAGATCTGTAATGCATTTAAAAGATGAAAAGACAAATATAAAACTTTATCTCTTATAGATTATCTAGAAATTTTTCTAGGAGCTAAGGAAAGTGAAGGATTGAGGTAATTTTCCAGATTACTCATGCTAAATGCTGGTCTTCACCTAAACATCCAATTAACTTTCTCAATCTCCCATTACATTTTTCTAGGGTCAATAGTTGACTCCCTACCAGATCGTACATTAGAGGATTCTAACATCACTACTAAATGGTCTTAAACATGCATTCACCTAATTCTAAAGGTTCCATGTTAAATATGCAATGCTAAATAAGATTAACTGAAGTTACCAATAAAATACAACCCAGTTACAGAGAGATAGCTGAAAATTAACTAATTGATAACTCACTTAACAGATAACTCAGTGAAAAAAAAAAATCAAGTCCTCGATTGTCAGAGATCATAGAAACACAAACTCAATTCAATGTTCAGCCTACAGAAAATTTCAGGGCATTGGCCATCTAATAAACACATCCAAACGATAAGAGGAAAATACAATACATTTCTTTCTCACAAAGACACATGAAATCTAATGTTATTGGAATCATTTTTCATTTGATGTAAATTGTTTTTTTAGAAAAGTACTATCTTAGTCCATTAGAAAGAGCTGTAAAAGTGCAGTGAGAAGGCGCTTATGAACGAATGGTTTACACTCAGTCAGCAGACTGGATGGATTCCCCACCGGCTACCAGTGTAGTGTCCATGCTTGTGAACAGCAACAGTCCTCACACAGGCACTAACCTTCTTCTTCTAGCTGGCACAGTACTTTGCCCAGATAGAAGATAGACAAAAATGGGTTGGGAAAAAGACTAGAAAATACATTCAGTTTTACGATGCTTAAATACCACTTCCAAATCCATTTAACACCGGCGCCCGTGGTAAAATAACGCTAGACATGTCCAACGGGCAGCCCGTATTTTGATTTTCCATTCCTGAGGCACACATCAATACGGGCTCACATCCTGGTTCGGAGGGCTGGAAGGCTATTTTCACACACCGTATCGGAGCGCGACGTGAGCGCTTATCATACAGTTAGGATTCTTGACATACTTGAGCAGGACCCATCCGGCATGAGCATGTATCCGTTGAGACAGTAGCACTTGTAGCTGCCGTAAGTGTTCATGCACCTGTGCTTGCACGGCCGCGGCTTCAGGCCACACTCATTTAGATCTGCAAAGAGCAGGGGTTGATGCAGCAAAATAAGAAAGCTTCAACACTGACGTAAAACCATCTAAAATACTTCTCTATATTGAAGAATGAACGAGAAAAGCAGGAGGAGCGGCGGCAACCAGTCGGTAACAGAAGAGACAGGGCCTGTTTATACCATCTCAACTCCATGCTGGTTACACGAGGGGTGACCAAGAGCCTTCTTCTATCAAAAATGACCAAATGCCTCCTAACAATGAGAGGGCTGTGTGAACTTCTGGAGCTCAGATTACGTAGTACCTGTGGTCTCTGTCTGCAAAGGAAAGCTGCAAAGTCTCCTCACAGACACGATCTCCCTTACCATCCCTACCCTCCTCCTCACGGGTGGAGGTCCTCAGTTATTTACCTGACTGACTCCGATATCCTCCAAATGTCGGAGTTGACTACTGGCTTCACTCCTGACTATGAGATCTTCCTCTTTCAATTTCCTTCTGTCTCTGTTTTAGGAAGATTCTCTGTGAGCCTATCTTAGTTTACAGGAAGTATTTCCAAACATTCAACTGCTCTGACCTTTCCAAAGGAGAGCTTTATTTTCAGAGGTAAGAGCTACATGAATTACAGTGATCGCTATTGTGGTTTCTCTTGTTCAGTCTTACAGATTCTATACTGATCTCAGATTAAAGGAGAAATTTCAGTTTCCTGCTTTCCTGATGTATTCAAGTCACACACACACAAAAAAAAAACCCACCCTAAAACCTACCCTCCAACATACTTTCATTCATTTGGCAGTTAAGAAAGGCATATGGAAATACTAAGAGATGATACATGACAGACTATTATTATGTATTTTAGGTTTGTTGCTTTAAATATCAACATAAATTAATCAACTCCACATAAAAATTTTCTAACCCAAGTTGAATACTGCTTCAAGTGAACATAAAACTCCTAATGGAAAACAGTAAAATAGTAAGGACCCCAATACAGATTTCATTAAAAAGAAATATGACCACATGTTTATTTCATCTGGAACTGCCAGCGTAAGCACCTGATTAAATTATTAATCCATGTCACCAAATCAGATATATAGATATATCTAGTGGCAAAGATGTTTTCATCTAATCAAATTTAAATCTGACCTGCCCACTTATTGGAAATCTATATATTTCACTTAATTAAACCACCAGACTATACTGTTTTAAAACCACCTAATAATAACTATGTTTATAAATGTTTTCATATTTTACTGACTTTCCAACTTGGTCTTTTTTCTAACCTTAACAGAACAGTGAGCAGGTCCCCAGTTGGGTGAAGCCTAGGAAGGTTAACTAAGTAAACCAGAAACCTTCACCTCATTTGCTTTCTTCAGTTTCTACTTTATTGTCTAGTGCCCAGTCATGGGCATTCAAAACAGAATCACATTTTAAAATATATTTTTAAAAAATTTTCTCCAAGAAAATACTTTGCAGATTATGTTATCAACACAAATTTGACTTCTTCCTCTGTTAAATGAAGTAAAAATTTTAAATCAAGGAAGAAAGAGAAATTCACTCTATGTCTCCTATTCTTCTACTTTGTATTTCAATATTTACTAAAAATTAGAGCCAGGGAATCTTTTCTCATGTTGTAAGAGAAGTTAACTATCATTCCTAATACATGCATAGACCTCTGCAGATTCAAGCCTGGCTTTGGTAAGTCCCTGACTGATATTAAATGGTATTTAAATCTGAGTACATTATTAGGGAAAGGCTTTGTTTTAAATATTTTTTGCATAAAACAGAACATACAACAAAGCCATAGAGTGAGACTGAATTCTGTATCTCAAGGGAAGGATACTAATGGACAGAAAATGTGTCAATTAAGAACTGTTAGGCTTCTTTATAAAGAGCCACAGAAACTGGTCAGAGGTTTGTAGCTCTAAGCAGCTCATATATAAGGGATACTTGTGCTAATTGAAATTTCTTTATTCATCCTGTCCATGAACTAGAGCTGAAGCCAAGCTGAGGCAGCTCTAGTCTTGACCAATAAAGAACTCCTCAAGGTTGTCAGGAGAAGAGTTTTCATGATCCAGACTGGGGCTGCCGGTGGTCTTCAGTCCAGATTTATCCTTCCCTTCCCATGAGAAAAAGCACTTTGGGGCTAAGAATCATGAAACTGAAAGGAAGTGAAAAAAAAAATGTCGTAATTCAAAAACAAACAAAAACAACCCCCCATCTGGGAATCACTCTATGAAATAATATGGAAGAGGAAATAACAGGAAGCCTTCGATGGGTAAATGTAGAGACATTTGTTGCCTATTTTACTGTTACTAATTTGACACATAAATATCCAAAGACATTGAAAGCCATGAGAGAGAGCCGTACTCTTAACAGCTGGTGACGGGGTGGCTGACACTCCCGGACAGCTGTCTCCAGCGACGGCCATCACTGCCCATCTGCTACAGGCATGCGTGTCCTAAAAACTCCACACTGACACTTACAAAAACCACTGCAGAAATTATGAAATAGGATTCCACAATAATCCACGTTATCAATATTTACCAAATATCAGACTTCTGCTAAAGCAGGGAGCTTCAAAAGATTAAAAGCATCTGGTGTCCTGGTGATGAACTTCTTTTTCTCAATTTTCTTCAGGGCTTCTAGTCTGTTATTATCATAACTTCATTTTCTTATTGACCTAATGCTTTATAAAATTGACTTAATATGTACTGCTTCCAAAATCTCATAGACTAACTGACCTAGTAATGCTTGTGTTACTATCAAGTCAGAAATTAAAAAACACTTCCAATTTGTAGTACATTCTCCTAGAATAACACGCAGAACAATATAAAGAACAAGCTACTTGACCACACTTTCTCAAACCAATCTTAAAAGCTGACAAGAATAACACAGGAAAGAAAACTTTAGGCATTTACTTAAATTCACTTTAATCTTGCTCTTTAACATAAATTATAAGGAAAATCTAGAATAAAAAATAATGAATTTCGTCATGTGTCCATCTTATCACATCAAAAGACATCACTTTACAATTAAACCACTTACATTTCAAATGCTTTAATTACCAAGTATACATTCTTAAGAACATTTACTACAGTGAGGAGTATATTTAAGCAGGCTGATGGATTCAGGAGCTTGGGGAGGTGGGATGGAGGGTGGGGTGAGGGGAGTAAGAAGAGAGCTAGTTCAGAACAAAAATGCAAGCTGCACAGCATTATAATTATATTTTAGGAAAAAAAGGATCAGAAATTTTATTAGCATGCAGACACTGAAAAGTAGCTTGAAAAATCTAGAATAGACTCCTTCAATTAGTTAATCCAGTGGATTTTTAAGGAAAATAATCTTTCATTCATTTAACGCATTTGGACTTTTTTCTCTTTTGATCCTTAAACTGGGCAATGTCTCAAATTTAACCTTTTACACTTTATATGACTAAAGTGGAGGTCATAGGCAAACAGATGTCAGTATTTCGACTGCCATAACCTTTATTCTTTAAACTATCACTGTTGAAATTCATCCTATTGCCCTAATTCTTTATGCAGAAGTTACGCAAGTTGCATTAAGTTTCCTATCAGTGGAGAGACAATAATTAATAATTTAAATGGTCTCAATTCAGTCCTTCTAAATTACCAAACCTATGAGCGGATGAAGGATACAGTCTTTTTAGAACAAAAACTGTAAAATCATGCTGCCATCTAACTTTTGTACAAGACTTTCCATCTCAATGAAAACACAGATATTTTTTGGTGTTCTTGTTCCCACACCTTCCCTGCAGGTGGACAGGGCAGGAATTATTCTCCCCCTGTAACTAACAGGTTTGCTAAGACTCAGACCCATTAAATGACTTGCTCATAATCACAGAGCTACTTAAAGGCTATACTTAACCAGAACTTAGGCTTTCTAATGTTACAAAATGCACACCAAAAGAAGGAAGTTAATGTATGGTTTGATTTCCAGGTAACCTAAAACTCTCCAAATGTGGCAGTGGGGAAGAGGACTTCATCACTTCTGAAATCCATGTAGCAAGAGCCATCAAATCCCCCATCTCCTTTGCTCCGGAATTCCTGACTTCACCTATAAAAATCAAAGTTATTTTGCCATCTGGCTTTTAGAAAACATTCTGAAACCCAGAAAAGGAAAAGAGAAGCAATATTTGAGGCAGTGAAAGGACAGGGGAGGCTCAGCAGGGAGTACTCCTGCCGCTGGCTTTACATGCTCAGGACGCTGAAGATTGGGTACTCCCGGGCGGGTCTTGAGAACATTTGCAAGAAGTGACAAAACTGCAGAAAGCTGTGCGGGTGGGAGTGCAGCCCACCTGAGAGAAGGCACGCTCACCCCTTGAAGGCAAACTTGTGGCTTGATGATCCAGGGGTTGGAAAAGAGGCTGTTCACTGCCTTTGTCAAGAGGAGTTGGGTAGAAGTGTTCATCTTCACACCAGGAAGAAGGTAATAAGAGTCAACTTTGAACTGATGTCATTTTTAGCCCTAAAAATCTTTATAAGTACATATTAAACAATTACATCAAGTTGGTGGAGTTCGCAAAGAACGTTGTACGTGCTTTGTAAAACAGGTTTCTAGTTTGTCCAGTTTCTCTTTTTTTTTTAAATTTGAATTTTTGTTTCCCTTAAAATTTATCCCTCCCGTCTTGCCTCCCAAAAATCACACGTACGTTTTGCACACATGCACATACACATACATCATTCTCACACCACTCTTTATAGAAACCACCAAAGAAGAGATGGTCATTTTTTAAAGCATTATTTTAGTCATCAACAAAGAGAGAAAACAGAAAGCAGATTACACAAATATTAATTACAATCAACCTGCTCTGTTTAGTGACACTAAGGTCGTAAAAGTCCAACTTAAGACTTTTTCCTCTATTATGTTGTCCAATAATTTAAAATACCCCCAAATTATGTGCAAATTTATGATTTGTATAAAGGGCTTTTTTAAATAAATAGCATGGTACTGCATCAATGTTTTCATTCAAATGTAAGAACTTATGTTATGTTTAGGTCCCATTTAGTAGGAATATACAATAAACTTCCTACAAAGGTTAACTATTGCCATTATTAACTTACCAAAATAATATAAGATGGGTAAGACTCACAAGTAGACTCAAAAAGGCAATCACCTTCTGTTTTAAGACTTTCACAGTATTAACAGCCAGTTAAACTTTCAAATTAAATGAACATTGGTTTCTGGGTTGAAACCATCCATCTTTCAAAAAGTAAGGCTGTCAGAAATTATCTTGATATTAGGAGTAATAAAGGCAATCAACTTTCAGATTTACATAAGCCACTAAAGTTTACTGTATAGTTCTGGGCTACAAGTTACTGGTTCTTTTCTTGGGGTGAGGAATTCAACATATGAAATATAAACTTTGTCAAAACATTAGGATCTGATATTTATAAATTGTTTCTTCCAAAATCATTATAAAGCACATTGTGCATTCAAAAACCTAAGTCTTTCATTTCTGAAAATATGCAATGATAGGACATTTTATATGATAAAAATCATTCCCTAATGGGAAAGTTATAAAAATGTTATTATCTCTAACAGTATCCCTTTTTGGCTGAAGGGAAAGAGAATTTGTGTGGGTACAGAGACTCAAAGAGGAGAGACTCTGAAGGAAAAAAATTCCCAGAGAAATGAGGTGGGGAAAAAAAAGTAAATCTTGCCAGAGTCTGAGCTAGAGTTTCATTATTGTGAAAGGCGCCATATGCTGTATAGGACAGGCTAATGATCAGCCCAAGCCTATGATTTTATATGTGATCTAGCTACGGCAAATCCAGAAATGACTCCAAGGGAAAAGAAAGCCCACAACAGCAGACTCACCCTAAACTTGAGACAAGGCTGTTAAATTCAGCATGTGGGCTCGCCCTGCTCTCTGGGCTGCTCCCCAGGCAGCTCTGAGAGGGCACTGGTTAAATGCTGGCCATTTACACAAGCTATTTACTCCACCAATCATTTCCAGGAGATTATTTCTCACCACTCATTATTTCACAACACTTGCAACAATTTTTTTAGCAAATATTTGCCTTACTCAGAAACCTACTTTTTTTTTTTTTGCTCTTTTATTTTCATTTATCATTCTGTTCAATTAGCCAGCATATAGAAACCTACTTTTACTCAGAAGCTAATTGCCAGTTCTGCGAAAGAACTGTATAGTTCTGTATAGAACTGTATAGGTATAGTTTAACTATACCTCTTCTTAACGTTTCTCTCCTCAAGAAAAAAGAAACCTGTTTGAGTTCTCATATTTCTGAGACATATTTGCCAGATTCTTAAGATGTATGGTCCAGATAAAAAACAGTCTCCATTGATTTGCATGTAACTGATACAGACTACTTGCTCTAGTCACGTTTCTTGGTGTCTCTCAACAGTTGTCGCCTTCACCCAGGCCTTCGCAGCCGCCTCTCACCCTGACCAGTGTTCTCAGGCCACAGATCCAGAGGCTGCCTAAGGTGCTGTGCCGGACAGCTCTGGGGAACCCTTTACAAGCGTTCAGGACCAAGAACCATTACATGAAACTATCATTCACTGAGCAAATAGTTTACGTGCCCTTACCATGTGCAAGTCATTTTAGTAATAGTTTTCGGGGACCCAGAAATCAGAGACCATAAAGGGTCTAAAAGAGCATAAACCACATGCCATCGGGAATTCAACCACATTGCTTTTTTGTTATGGAAGACAGAAAGAGAGATGATCAAAACACATAGTTCTACTGTAAGCTGTAGTCTTATATTCAAGATTGGGCTTGAAATTACATTTTCAGTGTCAGCACTAGTTTTTGCAGGTGTAAAATCCCATTTTGCTACTAATGAAATCCTCTTTCCCCTAAGGAATATAGTTTTAGGAGGCAAGACATAAACTCAGTACATTTCCATTTTTCTTTAGAGAAACAGGTATGTATTACAGTAAAAAGTACATGATAAACTGGTTTTCTGAAAACAGGAGATACCCAGAGATAGATCCTTGTTACAATAATAGTTTCAGTGTCCTTGAAGCATATTAAAGTTAATGTAGCTCCTGCAAATAAATTTAAATGGATTTCTCTGCAATCTCAACAGTGGCTCTTATAATAACCTTCTTTGTATAAACTCCTGGCATCGGGACAACAAAGTTTTATGGTACTGACATATTAATGAAACCTCTGATGGTTTATTTTCTCCACTTTAAAAAGGGAAGCATGTTAGAAGTCTCAGATGCACACTGATAACTCAATAATCAGAACCGGACATGTCACTACTTGTAAACTTAGACAGGGGAAGGAAAGTCAAAAGGATTTTTAAAAGGAGTAAACTGAGATAACAAAAACTCTACTTACTTCAAAAAGACTTTCCCAGTATGTTTGGTAACTTCCAAGTTTAAAAATATTATTAAAAAAGCATTGGAAAAAAATCAGTTAATCAAATAATAAATAATACAGAACACACCTGAGAATGACAGTTTCTCCTACCATTGGACATGTCACATTTCATTAGCATAGATGTCATCTTATAGTTCAGGAACAATTCCTTATACTTTTTCAAACACCAGTGTTCTGATTCTTGAAATTATGCCCATAAATCCTGAGTTTACACGAGACATATCAAGGAGTATCAGATATTGAAGAACAGGAGTGTTTCAACAATATCACCTCCATATCTGATGAGGTCAAGTAATTATCTATGGGACACTGCATTCAAAAACCATGTAACTATTTACAGTTTACAAACCATGTAACTGTTTCATTCAACACTGGAAAGGACAGAAAGGGTCACTTCAATTTAAGAAATAAGTGAAAAATGGATTCTTTTATCCTTGTATCTTTCTGGTGAAATCTAACCCCAGCTTTTATTTATGGGGTTTTTTACTCCTAATAATAGGACATTTGGGGTAGAAATTAACTAAAAAGACAAGCTTTGTCAGATTTGTTAGCCCAAGTCAGAAGATCACATTTGCAATAATATTTTCTCATCTGAAACAAAACTGACAGAGAAAATATGAATTACATGGACAACAGTTCTAAGTTGACATACTAGGTTTTTTACCAACTAATTCTATGAACTTTGACCAGACACTTAATATCCCTGATATCTTTTCCAATGAGAAGTAAAAATTATTTATCACTTAATTATCATGAATAACATTCTACCTCCTGACACTGTAATAATGAAAATAAACAATATATATAAAATACCTGGGGCACTCTGCTAAGTGAATATCTGCTTTTATAAGCAACTTTAAACAAAAATAAGTCTGTTAAAATCTTTATTTCTCAGAGAAACTTTGTAAACTGGTAATAGCTGAAGGGAATTTAATCTCAAAGATTAAATTAATGAATGGGATAAATGAATTGATGAATGGGATAAATGAAGGGACCTCAAAATTTCGAGTCAGACTTCTGACCTGACTTGAGCACTGAAGGGTTCCATCTCACTGGGGTGGGTCCAAGGAGGCCCACAATTTTCCAGGGCTTTTCCACTAAGCTCCTGGGAGAATGAGGACTAGCAGAATATTGGGTTTCTACATGACTGATGCTGTGATTCTCTTATTTAAAATACATTTTAATTAGAATCTGTGAATAGGAATAAGAGGATGAAATCTGATGAAATATATTTTAAGGTTTACCATTATATTTTTATCTTTCAGAAAATGGCAGTTCACATGTTTTAGAAACAACAGCCATGGAAAAATGGTTTGGCCTGAGAACCTAAAACTTTTACATGAGGCAGAAACAGAGGGGGCTTCTGATTGTTAATCTGTGTCAAACTGGTTTCCTACCTTGATTGCAGGTCTTTCCAGCATAACCGGGATGACATTTGCACTTGTCGGGTCCAATACATTCACCATGTTTGCACTGTGGCTGGCAGACAGCTGTGAAAAGAGGACATCATGCGTTATTACTAGGTCAGCAGGACATCAACCAGACAGCATCTATGTCATGTAGTAGTTTGATAATCAAAGAGAAGACCAGGAACTTACATCAGAGTAGCAGAAATATGAAAATCACTATGTCTTGGAGTGGTAAGGACTCTTTAGACTTAATAGTCTCACATACATGTGAGGTGTGTGTGTGTTCATGTGTGTGAATCACTTGGGTCTGGAAAATTGGCTAAGCCTAAGTGCAATGTTAAAATAGTGAAAAAAAAATAGGTAAACTATGAATAAACACAACTGATGTCCGTCAATAGTTACAACTTTCTAATAATCTGTATCACAGATTTCAAATGTGTTCCCCCAAATATGCTTCAAAAGTAGTTCTCAGTCCAAAGATATAGGCATATGTGAACTTCAGATAAATTTCCCACTAAATAATACTTATTTTACTAGAAATTCTACTTCTAGTATGAAATGGTTCTAAATGAAATAAAACCCAAAACTCAGTATTTTTGGAACTTCCACTTAAGAATACTTCGGTCATTCTGATCTTTCTTAACCCTGGCGTGGTACAATTGCCGTAACCCTTGCCATGACCTATCACAGCAAACAGGAAGTTCTATTTTACGTTTATTATCTTCTACCAACCAAGTTTGTCTTTCCTCAGGATGGCAAAATGCTATAAAACATCACTCAAAGCTTTCAGTCTTCCATTCCTGCCAAGACAACGGTCAGAATTTTTTGTTTACTCTATACCAGTGGTTCTCCACTGAGCCATCTTTGTCCCCTATGGAACATTTGATATAAACAAAGACATTTTTGGTTGTCACACAGGGGAGAGGGTACTACTGGCATCTGGCAGGCAGAATACAGGGATGCTCTAAATGTCCTACAAAACAGATTACCCAACCAAAGTGTGATGGTGCCAGACTGAGAAAGCTTGCTGTACACTGAATTGGTGCATGATGTGAAAATAGAAGAAAATTCATTGTATAGCATTGTCACTAGTCTCAAAGAGCTTATGACGTAGATGAAGAGACAAAACAATCATTTTTCATTTAACACAACATATGTTAACGAGCAAAATGGGTGGCACATATGAAATTTGTGAAGCCATCATCCCATAAGCATATTCACAGAGATTTGTAGAGAAAGCCTCAGGAAAGACTTGAGTTGGTTCTTCACACATGGGAAGACAGAGAAGGGGAAGATTTTCCAAGGTAAGGAGAGTTATATAGCAAAACACTTTCATTTACTCACAGGGCACTGAGGCAGAATCAAGTGAAAGAGATAGCTTAATGTCAGTGGAAAAATGAGACGTAGACAATCATAGGTGAGTGGTATCAAATGATGATGTTCCCTAAATTTCAGGCTGAGGAATATATACTTTATAGGAAATGGGAAGTTTCTGGAAGTTTATTATCATCATCAGGAGAATGACCCGACAAAAATAAAAGTCTAGGGATATTAACCTGGTGGTGATATGAGGGATAGACTAGAAAAAGTCTAGGTGACATGAGAAAGGCATGATCTGTTTGCTACAGAAAAGAAGGGCTTCAGGAAGCATTGAGTGAGAGTCGACACATCTTGAAGCCCAAAGGGAGTGGAGTTGACAATGACCCTGAGTTCTAAGGTCCCGGACTTTACTTCCCATATCAGCCAAGGCTGTCTTCATTCTGGGATGTGCTCCTAGTTTCCTCTATCACAATTCTCAAGCTTCGTTTCCTTCAAAACTCAAATACTCCTATAAAACTGAGGGGCAAGTTATTTCTGGTGTTTTCTACATTTCCTCACTTAACCCTCGCTGACCTGTCCCTCACCTGGCACTCTATGGGGCTTATTTGCCAATTTTACTTCAAGCCTGTTTCCTGATTGTTTGTCAGCCCACCTGGACCCTGTATCACTACTAACCCTTAGTGCTGCTCAGAAGTATTAAAAAGCTTGCAGAAAGAAGGGATGAGCAGAGTAGAAGGTGCAAATGATAAAAGAAATGCAAATTTCCCTTGGAAAACTCTTAAAATCTCATTTTAGATCTGGCATGAAATTAAAAAGAAAGCAATTTTGTTCAGATCTGTGAGAAGACATAATCTATCTAGAAGGGCCTTCCAAAATTATTCTTCAGCCAACTGTACACGAGTAGATGGTTGAGAAGCAGTTTTTAAAGTAAGTCCCAGAAACAAACCAGTCTTTATGAAATTTCCAGGCCCCATAACGAAGAAATGCAAGTTAAAGTTTTTTAAATCTTAAAAAAAGATTTGCCATAATTTTTAACATTTATATATGAACACAACCTGAATGAATCAATTATCACTGAAGCACCCAGAGTGTCATAATTTAACAAAAATAAAATCTCAAAATCAGTAAGTGTGAGTTGAATTAATAATCCCCCCACATAGCTGGAATTTGAAAATATCTCTAAAAACATGAAAAAGTAGTTTAGGGAGTACCACTTAAGAACATGAAAAGTTGGGGCGCCTGGGTGGCTCAGTGGGTTGAAGCCTCTGCCTTCGGCTCAGGTCATGATCCCAGAGCCCTGGGATCAAGCCCTGCATCAGGCTCTCTGCTCGGTAGGGAGCCTGCTTCCTCCTCTCTCTGCCTGCCTCTCTGCCTACTTGTGATCTCTGTCTGTCAAATAAATAAAATTTAAAAAAAAAAAAAAAGAACATGAAAAGTTTATTGAGGAGAGGACAGGTTATGAAACAAACTCCAGGTGTAGGCTGTTTTGCCTTCTGACCCCTTGACTAGCTTGATGACCATCCATTTATCGTCCTTCCAGGTGCTGTAGAGGAACAAAGTTTTTATTGCCCCCTCCCTTTCTTGTTGTTTGTTTTCAGCGCCCTAATCTTGGGGACATCAAATGCACACATTCCAAGAGGCCAAGAGAGTTAATGTTTCTTACATGCTTAGGGTATAATTCTCAAACAAACTGCTATCTGCATTTCTACCCAACAGACTATTCACTGAAGTGACCAAGGATCTATATATTAGCCAACAGCTACTAATGGGATAGGATATTCAAAATGTTGGTATCACCAATTTTTTTTTTCTTACAAAAAGAAAACATTCAGAAAAATGTTGCATAAAAGAACTTCTTCCTATTATCTTGCTGGCATTGGGTCTGCGATGGATTCAATAAACATACGTTGAACATTTGTTACATATATGTATTACACTAGGCAAGTGTCGGGGAGTGGGGATGAGAGAGTCACTGAGGATATGAAACATTAGCTGTGCAGCTAGAATGCATTGGCCCAAACTTACCAAGAACTCAGAGAAAGGAGATGAAAGAAGAAAGGGGAGAGGGGCAGGATGGGTCCCATGGGCCCAAATGGGTAAACCACACTCAAAATTTACTCTCTAACATTCTTACAGCATCATCTCCAGAGCATCCTCAAAATAACCTCTCTGTCACTTTTTGAACTAGAAAAAGAAACACATCTCAACTGGCAAAGCAGACATAGCTCTTCCACATCTCTTCTGTGGGACTGCAATCTACAATCTTACCCTCGGAAATTCATCCTGATGTAACGGGGGTTCTGAGAGACCCATGAAATGAGTTTTCAAATAAGTTAGGGGACAGTAGAACTCCCACCTCAGTTCTATGTAATGTTTCTCACATAAACCAATTATGGTGGGTGTCAAGTACCAACATTTGAAGAAATCAGGACATGCTGAGATGCCCAAGGAGGGGGTGGCTCTGGAGAGTGACAAGGGAAAAGTCAATTCAACCACAGGTGTCGTTAGGAACTTCAGAAGGGTTTTCTAATGTAAATAAGATTGTCTTTAGAGTCTCAAGCATCACTTGTGATTTTTGCCATCTACATCAAGCTGCTTGTCAGATACAGCAGAACAAGGATCCTTGTCCTCCAGGGTGTGTGATTTAGAAACAAAGGGGATAGAGAAGTAGGCAAGGACAGGCAGGAAAATGAACAGATACAAAACTGGGAGAGTTCAGAGAGCTCTCATCACATCTCACAAGCTTCGGAGAACCCAGCTATGGAAGAACTCATTGTGAGGGAATAGGAACATATGAGGAGGAATAGCTTTTTCAGGGGGCATCTGGCCTTGGAAGAGACACAGTTGTTGAAAGAAACAGGAAACAGCTCAGCGCTGTACTCATGGGGCCGAAGGACGGGATACAGAATTCCATAGCGCTCCAGTGGAAAGGGTCTTCCCCTACCCCATGGCATCCGTACAACCAAATCCAGAGGAAAAAATCCTATGGATTTTAAGATCTCCAGAGGAAAACAACTCTGCAGCCTTTGCAATATTCTGTACTCTGGTGTCCATTATCCTATTTTCAAATCTGAATTCCTGCTGTGGTAAAAACTGAAATAAAAGTGCCTCTGATTGTTATCATGACAAAATACTATGTATTAAATGCTCTCAGTGATACAGAACACATTTTCTGTGACTGGTTTCATTCCCACAATATCCATAAAAGGCAAGAGAGAGACAGACCTTATACTCAGTTAACCGGCAGAGAAATGAAAGCACAGAAAGTTAACTGACTTGCTCAATTTCAGAAAAAAAATTCATATCCCCATCTCATGGTCAGTCTCCTAGTTCTTCTTGTGTTAGGAACAAGGCCAGAAAGCTTAGCATTTTGATTGGCTCTGGAGGTGACAGAAGAGGGAAAACCCTAAGCAAGACAGGATGAGAGGGAGAGAGAAGGCCAGGGCAGGGAAACAGATGTGGGGCTCGATCCTAGGACCCTGGGATCATGACCTGAGCCGAAGGCAGACACTTAACCAACTGAGCCACCCAGGCACCCCTCACTACTTTACTATTAATTCTTGAAGTTGACCAAAGAAAATAAGTGCCTGCATCTGCACCTTTGTATTTCATACCAACTTCTATTTAACATAATTAAGCACTATCTCTTTCCACTTAGAAAATCTTCTAAAAAGTGCTATCATTTTGAGTTTACTTGCAATTTTCATGTTTCTGCTTCTAATGTGACACAAAGGTAGAATTTAGATTAATGCCAAATGAGA